TACATCATAAAAATAGCTTCTAAAAAACTCCTTTAAGTTAAAAAAACCATAAGTGAGTGCTATTAGCATTAAAAAAGAACATTTAAAATATACCCAATTGATGAAGCTGTTGACTTATAAAAATTGACGCTATACTTATCAATGATGAGTTTGTGATTTAAACTAAAATGATGAGTAGTAACTGCAAGTAAGCTTCTTCATTTATAAAGTTATTTTGGAACCATAAAAAAAAGTACAATAAAAGAGTTTATTTCAATAAAGAATTATCTATGAAAACACGATTTTGCCGATCACTTGACTTGCTCCAGATCAGCCTTAGCTTATGGTGAGTGGCAAAACCAAATGAATTAAATTTACCAAAATGTGAACTCTAAAAGGTTATAGGAATCTCTGTAAAATAATTTCTGTTGTAATTAAAGAATTAAAATAAGTTGTAAAACAAGTTCTTGCTAATGCACCGTTTAACAAAAGAACTTTCTTTTAAATGGAACAAATTCAAAAATAATTCATTCACAAATCCCTTCTTAAAATGACTTTTCACAGATAATGTTTACTATTGAAGTCAACAATGCAACATAAAAGCTGTAATGCATTGGTTCTGTTTCCTGTTCTGAGTAAAGCCCAAGAACCTGATCCTGTCTGTCGATGAAATCTTTTACAAGGAAAAATACTGCATGGACCTTGGGTGTTACAGACACATTTTGCAATGCCAGAGAAGACACTTTGAACGCTTCAATTATTTGTGAATGTTTGAATTAAGGTTGCATCCAAAACAACCAGATACTACCGCATTGAACTTTTGAAAAGCATCAATGAATGGGATTGCTGCATAAGATGAGTGTTTCTCAGCAATTGATTATAGAATATCAAAATTTTATAGCAGCTTTCTGGGCTCATTTCCTGAAAAATATCCACCATGGTAAGGTTGTTGTTTAATGTGTAATGCATCAGTCCAAAGAGATGCTCGAGGAATAACTTAAAGCAGCGCAGCAAAAAGATGATTAAAAACTCCAATTAGGAGATGCAATTTTATGAGAGAAAGAAACTTAACAACTAAAGTGTCTCCAAGTAGTTTAAATATTGGAGAATATACAACATTTTTATAGTCAAGAGCTTTTCTGATATTGGAAGCAGCTGACTTGAAGAGTGAGACACTTTTTGTAGAGATTCAAAAGTCCTCAATTTCCCTTGATTTACAATTTCTGTTGAACCAGGTTCACACCAGGTGCAGTGATGTGCAATTGAGTGTGCTTTAAGCCCACAAATAATATTTTCAAGTTTTAGATTACAGGACATAATAAAACTCCTGGTCTTTCAATTTAATCTATTCAAATACTTGCAAAACATTAGTATAATTTTCTTGAAGCTCCTCAGAGACAGCAGTGATGAGTTGTTGTTTTACACTAGTGTCCTTAAAAACTTTGGTTGTGCAGTTGAGTTTTGCTGGAAGAATGCTAGATTCATGATTTAATTCAATAATTCCCAGGTTAACTTTCAGAAACCCTCTTCCTCCGTCAATTACAACCTTTACAATGTGATTTTTTGATGTACTTCTCGTGACTATTTTATTTTTAAGCTCATGGAAGTCCTTGCAATGTATGACAGTCCTTAAACATCCAACGTGATCTTGAACTAATAAACTTATTCAATGATGTACAAGTTGCTTGCTGAATTTGTCAAGTTTTATGGCGTAATTTTTTTCAACAATTTGTTGTGAGGTTGACTGATTAATAGTAGCTGCTAACCTCTTGATGTCGTTTGTTTGAAAAAACCCTGTGTTTGCTTGAACGTTAGCAAGGTCTTTTGCACTTATTAATGAATTTGGAGAGAAAAGTTGTCTAGCTAATGACTAATGTGACTATAGTGAATGCAAAAAGTTAAAAATTTAACCTGTCATTAATTTGAACTATAAAAAACTAAATTTATACATGGTGTTACCGGAAGCATTATTCCACCATAAGGTTGACTTAATCAAACAGTTCCATGTGGAGAATTTATTTGAAACAACAAGAGCTGCAATTCCTTCTGATGCCAAAGAATCCTTTGTTGCAACAGCAGCAAGACTATTTCTTAAAGTGACTTTTGTGCAGTTGTGAGGCAATCCTCTGCCAATAATTGAAAAACAGTCTGAGCATCTTTTTTCTACTGTTAAAGAAAGTGTTCTAGCTACTGAACTTTGTGCGAATTTAATTTTCGTTTGACCATTGTGTCTCAGTTTTTCAATTGGACAGATCAAGCAGTCACAGTGAGAGTCTCGAGTTTCTGGTCGAGGTTTTATGGTCTCAAACTTATGAAATGGTGAAAGTGTGATATATAGAACAACTCTATATCTAACGTTACTACTTTTAGCATTATTACTTAGTAACATTTTAAATCAGCCTTAAAATCAAAATTAATTACAGTCATGCTAGAATACTTGACTCGTGCTAGTGAGCTAGTGTCCTCCAATCAAAAAATAGAATAAAAGTAAAATTTCAATCAATTTGGTTCACAAAAGTTTCAATAAATAAAATTGCTAAAATCTGTAAGCAGTTGTTAGACAATGGCATCAATATTTGAACTCCAAATCAAGTAGCAAATAACAAGTCAACATTTCACTTTGATGGCATTTACATTGAATAAAGTGAATATTCAGTTGTCGAAATTAAGAAGACAGAAATTGTAGGAGTTGTAAAAGTTCTTGTTAAATATAACTTGTGGAATTCAATTAAGATGATTACTGCCAATACTAATTAAACAAAAAAATAATTTCAATAGAATGAAATTGACCACGACTTTCCTTACTAAATCAACTATTTAAAAAAAAGTACAGAATATAATACTAAATTAGTAGCGAGCATTTATTTGGTAACTTGGATGTTAAGTTCTGTTGTACTTTAAAGTTTGAAATATAGTATACAAATAATTTACGCACATATGCGCACAAAAATATCGGACCATTTCAAGAAAAATACAAGTCTTATAGCCTGCTATAAAAAGGCTAGCATTTTTAAACTTATAATAGAAAAAATATAAGTTCAAATAAACACTTTTCATTTTTATTAATTTTTTTTTTTTTACTAAATTGCAACGAAAAAATTTGAATAACTAATTTTTCTACAAAAATTTTACAAAATATTTTTGTTTGGTTCAAAACTTAACAAAATCATCATTTGGTTTTAATTTGAAATATATATTTTTCTTTTATCTATATAACAGTTGCCAGAACGAATCTCAAAAATGGAATTTTCAATATGCATTTTAGTTTTTTTGATTGAAATTTTTAAGAAAACTTTGACAAGTATTGTAATAAATATGTTTATAATTATATGAGTATAAAATGCTGCTAAATGTTAAAAATTTATACGAAAACACACACACAAACACACGCACACGTGTGTATGTGTATGTGTTTGTGTGTGTGTTTGCGTGAGTGTAAAGACTGGCTTACCCTGTAACAACGAAAGTCAAGTCAAGAATGTTCCACGGATTACGTAGATAAGCATGTTTGTGCATAAATAAACCTTGCGAAATTATCTTTAAAAATTCTTCAGAACAAAATACTCCCAAAATATAAACATCTATGCGTTCCTAAAAAATTGTATAAAGGTTTTATATTAAAAAAGGTAATTATCTTTAAACTATTCATCCATTCTGTAATAGCAACCATTTTAACAGCACTCACCAGCACGTTGTCGATAGAGTCTCTATCTGACTTTGGGTGTGGTGAACTTAGTGCCATTACTATGCAGTTAAGAAGTATTGTAAAAATGACGAGCAACTTGTATATCTTTGAGTGAAGTATTGCAACACATAAACGACGAAGTGGGTTTGTCGGTGACAAAAAATATAAATGGTTGGTTGGATAAAGATTTTCTTCTTTGAGTGCAATAGGAATTTGGTCAACTTTGATCTTTTTATTATCCATTTATACTAAATTTTTTTAGCATACCATTACAAAACTCAATTTGTAAAGAAGTTTAAAAACTGGAATTATAAAAAAACCCAGCAAAAATATTAAAATGTATAATTACTGAAATATAAACAAAATTTGTACTAAATAAAATTCGTTTAAGTTAAATGCCGAAAAATAATATACTAACATCGCATTAGAATATCTATGTTATATATATTTTATCACATTTATATTAAATAAGAAAATGCCAATCATTTAACAACTTACGGTTTTCGACTGTTTTACTTTTCAAGTTACAATAAAGTAAAATGTAACCGTTTAATAATTTAAACACCCAATTTAAGAAACTGGTTTCACTTTGGAATCGCATTTTTTTTTTCAAATTCAATCCGTTACATAAAAATAACAAATGCAATACAGCAACAAACCTAAAACTTAATATTTAATGAGCCCAAAAAATAAACTGATTCAAGAACTTATGCGTTAAAAAACTCCTTTCAAGATCGTAATAAATTGCTTTGGACAAAAAAACACCCTGCGTGATGATAATTGTTGCTTCCCATGCTAATAACTGTATAGCATAATTAGTTTACGTTGTTTGAAATTAATATTTATAAATATTATTGGTCTCCTAATTGTGAAAGCTAAATTCAAAAGAGTAAGAACTTTACTTTAATATTTATGTGAAACAAATTTTTAAAAACTTAAAGTTTCCAAAAAGTGGTTTCCTTATAATTTCACGACAATCACATAAGTGACATGCATTATAAATGTGCCATGACCACGCGTAATATTTTATATTTTAATGATTTTAATAGGCTTTATTTAAGAGTAAAATATACCCATAAAATGAAAAATAAAAACAGAAAAATCCGCAAATAATAAAACAAATAAATATTTCCATCTATGCTCGAAAATATGGCAATCAGACTCATGCGTTTTCGAAAAACCAAAAAGAAAACTGAATCTCTAAAGTTTTCATTATAAAAAAATCTTTTAAAAAACTTTAAAATTTCATATTTAAATAAATCTAATAAAAAGTTTATAATAAAAAATTGTAATATCAACATAAATATTTACATGTTTTGTAATAAAAAATTGTAACATTAACATAAATATTTACATGTTTTATAATTTTCGTTTTGTTACGATTAAGATATAAATTTAAGAAAATAAATTTTATATAGTGTTAGCATCACTTTAGGTCGGATAAAAAGAGTCAAGCCCAGGTAAAAAGAAGGTCTATTGAGAGTAGAAACTAAAATTTAATCAATTTTAGATTGCTTAGAAGGACTTCTAGCTACCGCATTCCGAGCTTGGACATCCTTAAACTTTCGATTGAACAATATTTCTGTAATTGTAGACAATTAATTTCGCAGCATAAAGCTTTCCAATTGTCATCTGCTTGGCATCTAAAAGAGTATATACATTATTAAAAATTATTGAATTTAATTATTGAAAAAAATATTGAAGTAAATAAGTGCAGGCTTCACAAAATAAATTTAAATAAGTGCAAATTTTTCATTTACAAATAATAATGAAAAATATTACTGATTGTCAACTTTAAGTTTCTAGCTTGTTAAGATGAGTTTTTTAGTCGATTTGTACAAATTATGAATTACAATACAGTTTCTATTCGATTTGTACAAATTATGATTTACAATTTCACGTTTTTCTCATAATTTCTATTTAGGTAAGAAATTGTCTCTAAAAATTTTGATTTGACAAAAAATTTTGTTCTAATTTGAAAAAATTGAATTATTAGATATATAATTATTATAATATAATATAAATCATTTATGTAAAACTCGCTTATGGAAAACGAAATAAAAATTATTATAAAACAAAAATATTAATCATCTAAATTTGAAATTAATTGGAAGTATAAATATTTTCACTGTCATTATAAATATTTTCTAAACTTATATGTCACTGTCATTATAAATATTTTCTAAACTTATATGTCACTGTCATTATAAATATTTTCTAAACTTATATGTCACTGTCATTATAAATATTTTCTAAACTTATATGTCACTGTCATTATAAATATTTTCTAAACTTATATGTCACTGTCATTATAAATATTTTCTAAACTTATATGTCACTGTCATTATAAATATTTTCTAAACTTATATGTCACTGTCATTATAAATATTTTCTAAACTTATATGTCACTGTCATTAATTTATTATTTTGAATTTCAATGAAAACAGACATCAATAGTGCCTATAAAAAACGGAAGTTTTGTGTACTAATCGATGCATCATTCAATGTATGTAATATACACCATAAAATACATCGATGTAGATTCAATGCTTAGTACTAACGTTACCATTGAGATTACGCAGTTCAGCGTGTACCCTCTAAGTAACGCGTATAAGGCTCTTCTTGTCCCCCTGAGGGACAAGGTGAAGGCAGATCGAAGATCTGAATAAAGAGACAGTAAACTTCAAGTTGTCATAAATATTATTCATTATTATTTGTGTAAAGTAAAATATGTATTTTAATACATTTACTTTTGTATTAAATTTAAATTTGTGAGACCTGCACTCATTTACTTCTATAACTTATCCAACGATTATTTCGTTAACAATAATTTATTCTGTTGGTGTTTAGAATGAATCCAGACACCAATACTAAAAAAATACTGGCGTGTTATTAATCTTGAAAATCTGAGATATCTAATATGTTTTAATAAATTAAGCGACTGTACCCAGTCTTTTGTACTATTTACTGCATGGTGATTTAAATATTGTTTAACTTGCAATTAGTAATTTATATTGATGCTTCAACTTTCAAAAAATAATGGTAAGGTAAGTTATCAAAAATTAAATTTCTTTTGCTTTTGATTTAATTAAGATGGTTTAATAGGTGCACCCTATTAAATCTGAGTTTTTATTTGTCGCTTTAAAAAAATTTATTCAACAGTATAGATTGGAATTGCTATCAGTATCGCTACTTGCGATAAAAGCTTCTCTAAATTGATGTTAAAATCATCGTTGTTCTTCATTGAGTAATATAAGATTACATATTATTGCAATAATGTCCGTAAAACAAGAATGTGCGTATGCGTAACTTAATATATCGAGCATTTTTCTAATAAAATATTTAAATACCAATTTTATTATTTTTTATAACTTAAATGCATGGATTTTTACCATGTATAGGTAATTTTTTTGTGTAAAACAAGAAGAAAAAAAACCTTTGAGAGATTTTTCTACTATAAAAACTAGTGTAAAATATGTGTACAAATTGTCAATAAAAACTTTTTTTTTTTTAACAAAATGTCTCCAAGATGGGGAACCTGCAACCTCCATAATTATCTTGTACTTTAACAATAGTTGTTTATAGGTAAACTAAAATATGCGTCTTCCTGTATTATTGCCTAAATTAAATACTAAAGATAAAAAAGCTTCCCACCATTAGTTCGTCTTAAACACAATTATTTATTTGGTTATTAATTTATAAAAACCATATTTGATGGATTGCAAATTAGAGACCATCCAGGTGGCAACAATTTTAGGTGCACCACTGGGTAGTACCAAAAGTTTGCAAGATCGTTAAGTGTTCAAAATTTTTAATTACGAAAATATATCTTTGCTATAATATCAACACGAAAAGTAACTGTGGATAAAAACAAATAATAATAATAAAAAAATTTGGTTCTAAAACTTGGTTTGTAACAGTTGTACAACCTGATGCATGCAATTATAATTTAACTTAAAAAACTTATAACTTAAGGCTGCTTTCTAATAGTTGTAAAAATTGTCGTACAACAGTTGTTCAGCAATAAGATTTTAAAATAAAAATATTCTCTTGCATAATTAAAAACATTCTCTTACATAATTTTGACAACCAAAGTTTAAGTTGTAAAGCAATGGTTGCAGAAATAAATGCAATGGTTGCAGAAATGAATGCAATGGTTGCAGCAATATAAATTAATATCTGCAATAATAAAACAACGGTTGCAGAAACATAAATCAATATTTGCGACAAAATATTGTACGACTATTGAACGACATTTCTACAAATATTGCACAACTGTTGTACGACATTTCTACAACTGTTAAAAACCAAGCTTTAGAACCAATATATATTTTTTTAATTTATTTTTATCCACAGTTAATTTTTGTGTTGATATGCAATGATATATTTTCGTAATCAAAAATTGCCCCAAAATATGGAAAGATATATGTGTAACTTTAAAAAATCTCTTTTAATAGCGCAAAAAGGTTTGTGACAAATTGAAGAAAAAAATAACTCAACAGATGAATAAATTTCCGATATCAAAGAGCAACAGCATCTTTAACGCTAGAAACATCATACCTCAGAAGCAAAACATGCAATGATAATGTAACTTAAAATACTCGAGCGGTGAAAGCTATGTAAAATAAACAATACGAACTTTAAACCCATTGAGGTGATTTTACTTTATTGGGTTCACTTTAGTATTAATTCACTAATTTATGATGGAAAAAGCCTGATTTTGAAGTCGCTAAACTCTTTAAACAATAGTTTGTGAGAAAGAAAAACACAAGCTCTTCAAATAACAAGCTTTATGCAATTATTAACCTGGTTTTAAATGATTCAGATGAGAAAAAAGTGGTGTTTCTACAGATTATTCAGATGAAGTTACTAAAGATGATTGAGATGGAGTAGAAGTAGTGTTGCTACAGGTGATTCAGATGAAGTAGAAGTAATGCTGCTTAAAATAGATAATTTAGATGAAGTAGAAGTGATGTTTCTACAGATGATTCAGATGAAGTAGAAGTGGTATTGCTACAGATAACTCAGATAAAGTAGAAGTGGTGTTTCTACAAATGATTCAGATGAAGAAGAAGTGGTGTTGTTACAGATAGATGATCCAGATGAAGTAGAAGTGATGTTTCTACAAATGATACAGATGGAGTAGAATTGTTGTTGTTACAGATGATTCGGATGAAGTAGAGGTGGTGTTGTTACAGATGATTTAAATGGAGTAGAAGTGGTGTTGTTACAGATGATTTTGATGCAGTACAAAATAAATATAACGTCATTTTTATATGACACAATCAAATTTTAATTTATTTTTTTTTGGTGACATTTTTTGTCTTTTTTTTTTTAATGAGTTTTTATATGACACAATCAAAATTTTATTTCTACTTTTTGTGAACTAAAATATATATTTATAAACCATATTAATTAATTTAATTATTTTATTTAATTATAATAAACTATAATTAAATAAAAAATATATATTTATATATTATAAAACTCACTAAACCTTAAAATAACACTTACTTCGTGGTGGACGAGGAATAACCAAGTCTAAAGGACGTTTTTTTATTTTTGGCCAAATTGAAAGCAACATATTGCGAATTGCATCATTATTTATTTGAAGATTAGCTTTAAAAATTGGAAATCAATTATGACTAATACTTTTAAAAAATAATTAATTCTAATAATTTTGCAAAAAATTATTACCATTTTTAGTATAAATATTCAGCGCTGTTCGTACTAAAGCAAAAAAGAACCCTGTGTAATCCACAGAACCATCATCATATAATATCATGTTCATTTGGACTAAACGCTAAAATATATTACAAACTAGGTTGTTACTATTAATAATTTTCGTTAAATAATATTAGCTGAGACTAGAATCAATAGAAAAAACGAACTGCATGAAAATTCACACAAAAAAAATCAAACAACCTTGTATGCCACAATTTTTACGCAATGGGGACCAAGTCCTACAGGTGGCATCATTTCTTTGAGCAATTGAACTACTTCTGTATGCTTTATTCGACCACTAAATCAAAAAATTGTCCAGCTTTTAAACTGTATGAATAAATATTATTAGTGTACAATGAAAAAATATTTATTCATAGTGTATATTATTATTATATAAATTTTTTATATACTAAACCTTAAAACCTTAATATATCAATGCTTTATAATATAAAAAATGCTTTATATAAAACTTAATATATTAATGTTTTATAATATAAAAAATGCTTTATATAAAACTTAATATATAAAAGTTTTATAATATAAAAAATACTTTATATAAAACTTAATATATCAATGTTTTATAAAAAATTTATATGAAAATGCTCTAACACAAATTTTTGAAAACCTGAAAATTTTTTTGAAAATGCAAAAATTAGATTTTGTAACAAATTTGAACAAGTTCTAAATGTGTTTTTCTAAAAACTAAATGTACTTAATACTTAATCTTTTTAGAATAATGTATTTATAAATGTCTAAATGAACTGATGTCTTAAATTACCGTAAAATGGGGTGAATAGAAACAGTGGGGTGAATAGAAACAAAACTTCACTTTTTTATATATAACCTATTTTCTACATAACTATGGGTAAATGATGGCAACTATTATTTTTTTTTAGGTTGCTACACTTTAGGCTAAAAGTAAAATAATGGTTTGTTTGGTTGGCAATACTGGTTAAACATGACAAACAACAATTGGTTGTTTGTTACAAACAACCAATTGTTGTTTGTAACAAACAAATGCTCGATATATTAAGTTACGCATACGCACATTCTTGTTTTACGGACATGTTGAATTTAACCACGCAATTCTTGTGTTTTTTTAATCCACTTTGAACTTTCCAGGTAAGTCAGAATATACAGTGTTTTTAAAAGTAAATAGTTATACAAAAGTTTAATTTATACAAACGTAGTTTAATTATAAAAGATTGAGGCTTACTTTAAGCTTTAACTTTAACAATTTTATTTCAAAAATTATTCATTTTTTTTATGTTAGATTTTCAGAATTTATGGGGTGAATAGAAACACATAATTTTTAGTGTTTCTCTTTACAACAAAAATTTAATACTAAATCACATTCATAATATATAAAATATTTATTGTGTGTTATATATTTAAGTTAGACACTTAGCTTACACACAGTTGTTTTGTTTCAGGACCCTTTAAATGACAAGACAATACAAACCAGTGGTTACAGGGGACTACGAAAAGCACAATCCAAAAACCATCGAAATGTTAATTTCTGACATACAGTAGGGACTATACCTTGGAAAGTCTGCTGAGAAAAATGATTTACATTATAGTATTATATATTGACACTTAAAAAGAGGTCCCGATATGAAGAAACATGGTGGTCAGACAGCTTTATTTCTTGAAGAAGAACAACTGTTTGTTGAAAGGCTGTAGATATTGGGCGAATGAGGCTATCCTTTTGACACTACAACTCTATAACTCCTTATAAAAGATTTCTTAGACCAAACAGGGAAAAAAGTTAAAAGGTTAAAAGAAAACCTCCTAGGCTGTGACTTTGTTGAATCATTTTTAAAATGTCATAAGGATCAACTTGCCGCAAGAATGTGTCAGAATATTAAATAATCGAGAGCTGGTGTGACACGAGATACAATTAACAACTATTTTGATAAACTGTTTTTAAAAAAACATGAAAATGAAGTACTGTTTCTATTCCCCCACATTTGATGGGTGAATAGAAACAACGTGTTTTAATTTTTTTTTTTTTTTTATAAAATTAAAAGATTTAAAAACCATAAACAAAAATGTCTAAAAGAGACTTGTGTTTGGGCAAAAAATTATCTAGGACAACTACAAATATGCAAAATTTCAAACCAAAGTTGAAAATTGTTTCTATTCACCCTGTTTTATTGTATATAAAATCAAATGTTAGTGTTTTTTAAAGATAATATTGTTATTAAAACTTGCTACATCTAAGGTTGCAACTTTTGAGGTATTTGATTTTGATTTTTATATTTTTCAATTTTGGAAGTTTTATAAAATTTTATAAACAGTTTGTTTTAATGATATATAAAAACCTAATATTTAAGTTAAAATTTTTATTTAATACACCAATATAAATATATAAATATTTTTTTTTATATTATGCTATATTTTCTTTATATTTTGCTGTATATTTTATTTTAAACAAATAAAAAAAAAAAATTATAGCATAATATACAAAAATAACTAAAAAAACATCTACTAATTAAACTTACGTTGCTCTTGGGTCAAAGTTGGACCAAACCATTACAACTTCATCTAAATGTTGAGGACCAAGCTTGCTTGTATCCTCTGTTAAATATGCAAAGTTGTCCATTATAACAGCCAAAATTAAGTTAAGCATCTATGTTATATACAAATAAGTTTAATCGGAATTATATTAACTGCATAGTAAAAATAAAATAAAAACAATCTTTGACATTTTTAAAAAAGTTCTAGAACTCCACAAAAGCATTAAAAAAAGTTCCAGACAAAAATGTTGATAGAATTGATCAACAATTAATTGACAAAAAAATTGAAAGTTCATAATATCATACAATCTTAAGGTTATCAACATTTTGTATCAAACTAAATCACATTTAAACAAATCATTTTAGTTTAGACACTGACATCAAAACCTTTCCATCAGAGGAGTCTCAATAATAATCAAAAGAAGTTACAGAATTTATTGGAGTTTATTTATTATTTTAACATTTTATTGATTATTTCAATCAATTAATTTAGATAAAGCAATAATTAATTAAAATTTTAAACTGATCAGCCATTTCATGATAGATCAGCTATTTCATGACAGATCAGCCATTTCACATAGGGTCAATTATTAGGAAATGAGTGCAGTTACCTGTTGTTTTTTTTGTTCATATTCTTTGAAACAGTTTAATTTAAGTGTAATACTTAGTTTTCATGCACATGCAAGGAAAAACTGTTTTTAATGTTTTACTGTAACCTATTACTTTTAGGTATCAGATACCTAAAAGTAAAAAATTAACAATTACCTTCCAAACTTTTGTTTATGTAAATCTTTAATTCAAAGTATGTAGACAAAAATACAACATAAATGCCAGTTTTTTCTATAAATAAAACTGTAACATGTTTGATTTATAAATAAAACTGTAACATGTTTGATCTATAATCAAGCAAAAACAAGTTTTTAATAAGTTTTTTTAACTGAAATAACTTATTAAAACTTTATAAATACTAATCTAATAATCAAAAAGTGCAAATAAAAATATATATTAGTTATTTTTTGACCCATAGTATCAATAAAATAATAAATATTTTTTTACATTTATATATTAGAAAGATTTTTTTACATTTATATATTAGAAAGATTTCAATTTTGTTTTTAGATAAAATATTTTAATATTTACAACTCTTTAAAAATATCATTTTAGTTAAAGATTCTAGAAAATCATACAATAATTTGCTAACAATTTTTAAGTTGTCGTTTGAAGACAGTGACAAAGTTGGGAGGTCAACAAATACATACAACTATGTCTTTTAAAAGAACTATATATATATATATATATATATATATATATATATATATATATATATATATATATATATATATATATATATATATATATATATATATATATATATATATATATATATATATATATATATATATATATATATATATATATGTCTTTTAAAAGAACTATGTATATTTGCTTCAAAGAAGTTAATCATCAAATGAGTCATTATTTGCATCAAAAGTTTAACTAAATGGAAAGTCTTAACATAAAAGGCTAATAAAATCAGCAAAATATATTTAGATAAGAATGTAGATACTTCAATGCTTTATGAAATGTAGATAATTCAATGTAGATAAGATAAGTGTAGATAAGATTCAATGTAGATAAGATAAGACAATGTAGATAAGAATGTAGATAATTCAATGCTTTATGGAAATAAATCATTGTTGTTGGTGCTAGATTTAATTAGGCTGCATTTCAACTACATAAAAATGCTGCAATTGCAAAGCAATCCAACCTGTATCCTGCGTATAACAATACAAAGCCATAAATAACTTTTGTGTTACTTTAACAATATGAAGTAAATTAGAAGAATTTGAACCACAACCTTAACTTATTTCTAAAATAGCTTTGTTTGTCAATGCTTATATTTTGAACTTACAGAGAGAGAGAGAGAGAGAGAGAGAGAGAGAGAGAGAGAGAGAGAGAGAGAGAGAGAGAGAGAGAGAGAGAGAGAGAGAGAGAGAGAGAGATAGAGAGAGAGAGAGAGAGAGAGAGAGAAAGAGAGAGAGAGAGAGAGAGTAAAATAAAATAAAATTTAATTCAACAAGAATATAAATGAATTCAAAAAATAACAACTCTAATAACATAAACCACTAAAATAATTTAGCATAAAAAAAAATTATTTTGGTCTGGGGTGTATTGTAGTCTTGAATAAAAGTATACCAGCCATCAACCAAAAAAGCAATCAAACTAAAAGTTGAAACAATCAAATTAAAAGTCTCAAAAGCAAGTGGTGAATTTTGAAAAAAATTAAAAAATTACAATTGATGAAAAGTTAATTTGATTATATTTAACAGATGAAAAGTTACTTCAAATATAATTAACAGATGAAATATTACTTCCAAAACCTTAAATATTTGTAAAAGAAACAATTTTGTGATTATAATAATTTTTTAATTTATTAAAATAAAGAGACTTTCATCTATTTTTTGTGCTTAGGAGATAATAGCAGTTTTCTAAAAGATTATCATAAAAAAATGAAAATATTTAACTTTTATAAATTTTTTTAAAAAAGTAGACAAGAGATGGCAAAAAAGTTCGAACCCTTCCATATATCTTTTGAATGTAACTCACCAAATAATAACAAAATAAAATAAACGAGATAAAGTAGAAATATGCAGCATCACTTCCACAAACCAACACTTTATCAAGTTGAACAGCTCTTAATTCATTGTCACATTTTGCACCATTAATACAAGCCATCATTATATTGGGCCAGTTATCACCAGAAGCTACCCTATAAAATGAATTTATTTTTAATATTTTCATCTTGACAGTATTTAATAGAAAAAATAAGAAAAGTTTATAGTAAAAATTACTTTACATTAACTAAATCAACAAAATATAAACAGTAAGCTTAACCTTTATGAAATCAACAAAATATAAACAGTAAGCTTAACCCTTAAGAAATCAACAAAATATAAAAAGCAAGCTTAACCCTTAAGAAATCAACAAAATATAAACAGTAAGCTTAACCCTTAAGAAATCAACAAAATATAAACATTAACTTAACTTAATAAAAGTTGATTTAATTTTTATCAAGTAAAAATAAACTTATAATTATAGATTTTCAAATCTGCTAGAACAGTTGCCTTTTGATAATGTAATACCATTCACTTAATGTATGCATATCACATACATTAAGTGAATGGTATTACATTATCAAAATGTAATACGCATATGCTTTTTGATAATGTAATACCATTCACTTAATGTATGCATATCGCATGAAATATTATAGTTAAGTAAAAATATTGACTGTCTAGTTTGATCAACAGTAAATATATATACTTTTTTTGTTCACAAAAATAAAATCCAAACTTACTCAAAAAGAACTTGAAGTGAGCTCAAAAATGTTCGAAAATTGTTGTATTTATTAATATACGACCAACGTTTATTTTCACCATCATTGTGAGAAATAGATATCATGGCAAATAGCTAAAATATGAAAAAATTAATATACACTATTTAGAAAAATGTTAAACATAAGAAAAAAAAAAAAAATTATTTATAAAACCTGCATTCCAATCACAGCATAAATGTAGAATACAATAAAAATTAAAACTCCAAGATGCGGAAGAGCCTAAAAAAGAAGAAGAATATAAATACTTTTACTTAAAAGAATATAAAGTAGAAATAAAATATGTTAAATAAAATTTCCAGTTTTTATTTTTAAAGTTAAAACAACAAAAAACAAGTAATTTAGTTAAAATACACAGTATAAATTTATAAAAAGCCTCTTAGGAATAATCTAAAAATATATGCAAAAAAAAAAAAAAAAAAAAGAAAAGAAAAGTAACCTGTAAAGATTTCAGAAATGTCCAAATAAGTATTCTGATTGGACGAACTCTTTGCATTAATTTGATAAAACGCAAGACACGAAAAAAAGAAAATATATTTGTATCAAATGAAGGATGACTTTCCTAAAATATAAATTATATTTATTTACACATTGATGCAATAGTTTTAATTTTTAATTCTTAAAACTTTTCTATATTAAATTAGAAATGTGACTGACCAAGTTTGTCTAGGTCCCCATTCTGGGTGCACAACAGAAAATATTGGATCTTTTTGCAGGTACCCAGCTTTAAGCTTTTTCAAAAAGTAAAAAACTATAAAGTAAGAGTTTAAGAAAATATTTTTTTGAATGATTTTTTTTTTGAATGATTTATTAGCAATAAATCATAAATTTTCTAAATTAATTAATATTGTTTTTTAAGACTTAACTTTTTGAAAGACTTCAAAGTTGCAGCTGTCATTCTTTTCCGCCTTTTACTATGATGGTTGCTTGAAATTGAAAATTTTTTCTCACACTAAATCAATGTTGAATTGATTAATTTTATGTTCTAATTCTTCTTCAATAATTTATTTGATGAGAGCAAGAATGGGGACACTTTTGGTTCATTCAAGAACTTGTTGAGGATTGTTGAAAATATTTAGCCGACAGTTAAGATTGGATGCCTTTAAGAATTGATTAATTCAAGCAAACAACCATGTATAAAACTTCTCTCTCAATTCCTCTCTCAATTCTCATACATGGTTTCATGTAAACTTGATTTCATTTCAAACTTGGATAGACTCTTGTTAACAGAGGAAAAGTACCTTGTGTCTAATCCATTTATTCTTGATTTTCTCTTTTCTGATTGGCCCATCAAAAATGCAATATCAATATCAAAATTTTATAATTAAATTATAAATAAAACTTTAAGTCACAAATTTTTACTTTAATTTCAAATTAAATACTTCCTGCTTTTTAAAATAAAATTTAAAAAGAGCCTTTGCTTAAAGGTTTTTTGCAAAGTTATCGCAGTACGCCAAAATTAGAAATTTTGTAGTCAGATTTACATAAAATATTTGAATTAATTAAATTACCATGCATTTTTATTTGTTTCTCATAACTGAGAAGTAATTCTTGAATGAACAAAAAATTGAATTATTTTGACATATAGAACTAGCTCAATTTTGTTAAAAATGGGCTTAAAAAGGCTTTAAAAATGAGCTTAAAAAAGACTTAAAAATGGGCTTAAAAAAGGCTTAAAAAATCAGCTTAAAAAAGGCTTAAAAATCAGCTTTAAAAAGGCTTAAAAAATGGATTTAAAAAAGGCTTAAAAAATGGGCTTAAACAATGGGCTTAATAAAAAAATTGTAAATAAGACTAATGAAACCCATAAAAGCAAAAGCAAAATTCAAAATAAATAAAATTCTAATATTAAAATAAAGGTCTGCACAACAGATGGGACTTCATGGTACTTTAGACCTTTTCATGACCTCAAAATGAAGCAGTGTAATGTGCATGCTGACATTAGAATGTCACTTTCTGTATAGGATTCTTCTTTGCTCTGATTTGATAATGAATCCTCTTTTATTCAATTGATGTCTGGTCTTTTTTTGTGTTAATACTTGTTAAAAAAAAAGGTGGATTTCATGATCATAGTATTTCATGATCATAGTAAATGAGAGTCGTTGTGAGAGAAGGACACTTTGCCAAAACTTTGCTGTGGCAAAGTTTTGGCATCACGCTCATTAATTCATTTTAATTATACTTGATTTTGATTGTAATAGTTTAAAAATATTGTAATATATATAAATATTTAAACCTTTTTTCATTACTCACATAGAAAAACTTTCCTCTATTAGATTTTATCAGCATTATTTCCTTCATATCTTTGTCCTTCACATATGCTGCTAAGTTAAAAATTGTCTGACAAACTTTTTAATGATTTTATGCTTTGTGTAACTTTCAATCAGCTTTTGTATCAATGGATTCTAATTTGGTTGAAATAAAGTTTAAAATCAGATGGTAGCCTGGCAACAATTTTTTAATATTTTTAAGTTTAGCTCTAAAAAACGAGTCAACCATTTTCGAGTAAGATTAAAGTTAGTTAGATTTTTCATATTTGACAGAAGAAAAAGAAACATGGCAAAATTGATTGTACTTCCATGAATGAGCATGAATTTGTTTTGTATTGTAGTCTGCACATTTGATGAGCTTGTTCTTTGTTCCAACACAACACAAGGTGCATTCAATGTGAAACTTGTAATTTTTCAAAACTAGACAGTAGTTTTGCTATCTTGAATAAGTTTTTCTTATATTTTTTATTTTATTTTTTGAATCTGTTCAAATTTAAAAATCATTTACGTTGCAATTGCTATAAATGTCGTAAATTAAACTAATTCTACTTTCTTTTCACTTTATTACAGTACAGTTGTTGTTATTTTTTATTTATTTATTTTTAAACATTTTTATGTGACAAATCATATTACCAACATAATTAAAAATCGAGCAAAAACATTTGCATTGGAATTGCAACTTAAATATTAAAACTGAGATTACTGCAAAATATTGAAAATCTTTATTTTTTATTTTTTTATGTTTTATGTATTTCTATCAAAAAATATGTAAAAATAGATCCGAATGAGATAATTTATGCTGATGACTCTCCTTAAATCAAAAAAAACTCTTTTTTTATTTTAAAAAAAAGCCAGTTTTGAAGGTTTTTAATATATTCTAGTAATGTTGGTTTTGATATTTTTCACATTCATTTGCTTGTTATTCCAAGAATGAGATTCAGAGATAGAAAAATGAGACTTTTGAGAAATTTCCAAGATGAGCGAGATCTGAAAGTACAATTTAATAGTTGACTTGTTCTTATTTATTTTTTGTTGACAAATATAGAGAAAAAATCAAATAAATACAAACAACAACAAATGTTAACAAGTTATTGTCATTTAAATAATTATTGTTTTTAAGCAACATTCTTTTTAAACATTGTTTTTAAGCAACATTTTTTTTAAACATTGTTTTTAAGCAACATTCTTTTTAAACATTGCTTTTAAGCAACATTCTTTTTAAACATTGTTTTAAAGCAACATTCTTTTTAAACATTGCTTTTAAGCAACATTCTTTTGAAACATTGTTTTTAAGCAACATTGTTTTTAAACATTGTTTTTAAACAACATTCTTTTTAAACATTGTTTTTAAACAACATTCTTTTTAAACATTGTTTTTAAACAACATTCTTTTTAAACATTGTTTTAAGCAATATTCTTTTTAAACATTGTTTTTCAAAATTAAAATGTTAAACTCATACAGCAAAAAAATTTGCAAAAGCAAAAAACGGTTTTTAAATGAAAGCATTTCAGAAAACCACACTGTGTACATAACTTATACATTCAATCAAGCCTGAAATGAAACCTTTTACCAAGAAAAAAAATCAGTAAGACCTTTTTTCTTGGATACTTATCAAAATTAATCAAACTTTTAAATAGTTATTAGATGTACTTGCTAAAAACTTTTATTTTTTTTACACACATGATAAAGTAATTATTACACACATGATAAAGTAGTATATTATTAGATAGTTATTATTATTATTATTAGATAAATTTTCTAAATAAAAAAATGTTAACCAGATGTTATTGTAGTGCAACACATAGTATGCTAATAAAATCTAAAAGTTTTAACCAGATGTTATTGTAGTGTAGCATATGTAATGTAAATTCTGAAAGTGTTGGTGAACTGTTGTTATGACAAAACTTTTATTTTTTTAAACTTTTGTTTATATAAAAGATTTATGTTATGGCATGTTAACCTTTTTCTTTCTCTTTAACTCTCTTCTTTATTTTCTTATTGACTATCAGAGAACAGTTTTACATGCTTAACTAACTGAGAAAAGTTTTACATGACTAACTGACTATGAAAAAGCAGTTTTACATAAGCAAAGTGTTGAAATAAAAAAGTGTATTTTACTTAAGTACATTTTTTGAAAAGCCTTAAGGTTGTTTACCACACACAATTTGCCTTAACTAAATTTGGGTTTTTTGAACTGTGTCCAAATTAATTTCAACATTTTCTGAGAGAATATAGTTTACTTATCACTATGTATATAGTCCACCAAATCAGAAAACTCCTATTAAGTAAATATGGCATTTTTAACATTTTTTCATGCCTGCTTTTGCCCATTTTTTGTTTTTTACGACTGTCTTTAATCTGCCATTTTTTCTACTACAAATTTAATTGCAAAATACAATCATAGAAAATTTTGTTAAAAAAATATTAAGTATCGGTAAACCACATCCTCAGACTATTTTAGATCATCAAAAGAACAGAGAAAAAGTATGCCTTTATTGTGGTCGCAAATGTCATGTGAAAACAAACAGCAAAAGCCATATAGTTTCTAAATTTCAGAACTGTTTTTTGGATTATAACATTGCTGATCACCAATATTCTACTGGATTGTGCCCAAGGTTAGTATACTTAATGATTTTTAACTAAATAAATATATTAGGTTTGACATTGACTGGTCAAAAATGACTCTTTCAGCTAAAACACAAAACGGTTAAAATGTTATTTTATTTGTACGCCTGTTATAAAGAAATACAAAATTATAATTTTTTTTTAATAATTTTAGGAAGCTAAAAACTTGTAGCTGTGAAATATGCAAAATTGCAAAAACACAGGGAAGGATAGCCAAGAAAAAATCTGGTATAAAGAGTTTTGAAATGGCAGTTGTTAGTCTGCGATGTAGTTTTTGTCTGACTAAAGTTAAAAGAGGATTGCATCATAAATGCAATCCAACAACGCTCATATAGAAAATGTATTTATAACTTTGAATATTTGACTTTGAAAGATTGTATACAGGGTTATTCATTCTTATATGCGCGTCTATTCATTTTTATATGCGCCTTTATTCATTCTTATATGCGCATTTATTCATTTTTATATGCGCCTTTATTCATTCTTATATGCGCATTTATTCATTTTTATATGCGCCTTTATTCATTTTTATATGTGCATTTATTCATTTTTATATGCGCCTTTATTCATTTTTATATGCGCCTTTATTCATTCTTATATGCGTTTTACAAAAGCAATTGTAAAAAAGCAATTTGAACAAAAAAAAAATCATTTAAGCAATTTGTTTTGAAAAAATAGTTTATTATTTCAAAACAAACTTTTCTTATTTCCAGGTAAACGAGGTTAAAAATACTTAAAACGAAGAATTTTTAAATTCGACGATGGTTTATTTAATTTAGTATTAGTTCTTTGTAATTTTATTATTAAATTTCTTGATTGATTAAGTTATTATTTATCTAATTATTCATTTATCTCGATTTAAATTTACTTATTTATAATTATTAATATCAAATTATACATCCCTATGTTTGTATATGCGTCAACCACCCATAAAATCTCTAATATAATTTAATATAAACGATAAATACGCTTTTAAATTTTTATATAGACATATTTAAAATATAAATTAGGTTGTTTTCATTGTTATTTATTTAAGAAACGGTTGCCGGGCCAGCGCTTGATTTATATAACTATGCATATGGTTGTAAAATGGAACTATATTAAACTCTGTAGTATCCATAATATTTTTAAGTTTCCTGATTACCTCATCCGTATTTCGAGGCCTTTCTCCCTGTTTGTAAGTATGTTTTAAAGAAGAAAAAAATTCTTCTATTGGATTAAGCTGTGACGTGTAAGCTGGCAGATACTTAATAGCTATACCATGAGAGGCTAGTGTTTGCCTAAGAGAAAGACTCCAGTGGAATTTACAATTGTCCATAACAAGCACCGGCGCTTCCACATTTGCATTCCTAATCACTGGTGCCATCATTGTAGTTATGAAAGTACAAAATGAATCTGCATTCCAGCCTCCAGTTTTTGTTTCATAAGCAAGCACTCCCATTGTTGAAACAGCACAAATTAAACTAACATTCTTGCCACGATTTGCAGGCGACTGTAAAATTGCTGGCGCACCTCTCAGCGAATAACCATACGTGCTGTTAGCGTGCACATTAAATCCAGTTTCATCCAAATGAATAAGTTTTTCATCTGAAATTCCGTTAATTTCGCTTGCAAATGCATAGCGTGCATTAAAAATTTGTGTTGAATTTCGTTCTTCTGGCACATGCACAACACGTTTTCTTGATAAATCCGAGCATTTGAGTTTTCTTGAAATAGTAGGCTGAGACATGTTGAAGTCTGCTGCAGAAAGATTTTCTTTTATTGCTTCTTGCATGCAAGAAGCAATAAAAGATTTGGTTCAAGTGCAATTGTTTTCTTGTACGCATAATTCGATAATATTTTTTATTTGAGCGTTTATAGGTCTTTCACCTCGTTTTTTATCAGAAGACGACTTGAATGCAGTCATATCGTCGAATTCTCCTCTGTTTAACTTAATGACAAGATTTTGAACTGTGCGCTTCAATAAATTGAGAGAAGTGGAAATGCTTGTTGTAGATTGATTTCTTTCAACTAAATGCTTAAGCATTTCAATGTGCTCTTTTGTAACATTTTTCCTTGTTTTACGATTATTTTCTATTCCATCCATAGGGTAAAAATTTGATATTAATAATTTTAAATAATTAAATAATAAATCTAGAAAAATAAATAATTAGATAAAAAATAACTTAATGAATCAAGAAATTTAATACAATAATACAATTTAATATAATGTAATAAAATTAAACTAAAAACTAATACTAAGTTAAATAAACCATCATCGAATGTAAAAAGTCTTCGTCTTATAAGTATTTTTAAACTCGTTTACCAGGAAATAAGGAAAATTTGCTTTGACATAATAAACTGTTTTTTCAATGATTTTATTAAATGATTTTTTTTGGTTCAAATTGCTTTTTTACAATTGCTTTTGTAAACCACATAAAAATGAATAAATGCGCATATAAGAATGAATAAAGACGCATATAAAAATGAATAAATGCGCATATAAAAATGAATAAAGGCGCATATAAAAATAAATAAATGCGCATATAAGAATGAATAAAGGCGCATATAAAAATGAATAAATGCGCATATAAGAATGAATAAAGGCGCATATAAAAATGAATAAATGCGCATATAAGAATGAATAACCCTGTAAGATGTTCTATAGAAAACAAGTTCTATGTAAATTACTTTTTCAGAAATAACATATTAGCTGCACCAGTATATCAAGGTATTAGAAAAGCTGTATTATTTTGCGTTACTAATAGAGAGATAAATGAAAGTAATGTTTTAATAAATTAATAAATCTTTTTAATTAATTTAAATCTTAAAGATTTTAATCTAATCTTAGTAAGCTTTTGAACCTAAGTAAGCTTTTATTTGGATATCAAGGAACAAATGACTTCCCACATTATTAAAGAAAAGCTATGTATTGAAATTGGTAACACCATTTCATTGAAGACAGGAGGTAGTAAACTAAAACTGTCTATTGGATCTGAGAATACTCCAAAAACAACCAATTTTACTCACAAAAATCTTCTTTGTATTCAGAATTTTCTTTCCTTAAGTAATCATAAAATGATAAAACTTGCTAATATGATATGGTAAAATTACAACACTAATACAAATTCTGTACAATAAAATGATGTAATGTTTGTAGCAAAATTTATTATTAAAAAAGAATTAATACAACAAGGTCATATGAATTGAACTACTACTTGGAGATATACTTAGTCAAATTCTGACAGGTATATCTCCAAGTAGCAGTTCAAATCATCCCCATTATGTATATGAGTGGGATAGGAGAGAAACTTAAAAAAATACTCCATACAGATCCTTTGAGAGCTATCAAAAAAATGGTTCAAAACTTGAGTGCACAACATTTTAAGAATTGTATAAACCCTGTATTAGTACATGGAAACCCCTCTGAATTTCTTATAGATAGACTTGTTTTACAGGAGCTATATATAATGGATGGAACAGTCATTCATGCAATGGATAACATGGAGTAGATTTGGTCAGAAATAAATATAAAGGAGATTTATGAACAGTTGCAAATTATTAAGACTGGTTAGCATGGTGGAAAATTTAATGGAAATTCTTTGCAAAAAACTCTTAAAAAGTAGAAAGTGTTTAATGATAAGCTGCCAATTAAACTAAAGTCTTTTAGAGAATGCTTAAGGTATTAAATTTAGCTGTTGAGTCTTGCTTTGGATCTGGATTTGATGAAAACTTTCAAACTAATATCGAAAATTTAAAAGCCTGCTTTAAAAAGTTAATGTTAGAACATGGTATTACTTTAACACCAAAATTTCATGTCCTGTTCAATCATGTATCTGAATTATGTGAAACAAAAAAAATGGGCCTTGGAGTTTATTCAAAGCAATCTGGAGAAAGCGCCACTACCTCTTCAAAACTGCCTCATGGAACTGCTACAAGTACGCAAATAATTCTAATTATGGATATAATTTAGTAAGGGCATTAGGTTCTTATAATGGAAAACGTTTTGTTTTTCATTTAAAACATTCTGATTATGTGATTATCCACTTTAACAATGTAATATAACAAAATACCTTCTGTATTATTCGTTCTAATAAATTGTCTGTACTTTTAACTAAAATTAACAATAAAATTTTGAATGAAAACATGGCAGACCAAAAAATGGCGTAAAACACTTGCAAAAAAGGTCCAAAATAAAAGGCACAAAAAAAAGGTGCAAAAAAATCTTTAAAATGCCATTATAACTTAATAGGAGTTTTCTGATTTGGTGGACTATATACATAGTGATAAGTAAACTATACTCTTTCAGAAAACATTAAAATTAATTTGGATACAATTCAAAAAACCTAAATTTAGTTAACGCAAACTGTGCACAGGATGAAATTTGTGAAAAAAAGCCAATTTGATTTCCACATATTATTTTTCATGCTACGTTTTTTTATTTACATCCCTCAAACATGGATACTTTCTAATCTGAAAAAATAGTAAATTAAATTAAAGTATCATTTTTATATATAATATATTCAAAAATAGTATTTAAAATATAATTGTTTTTTAAAATGTTTAAAAAAATATATGCTAAACTTTATATCCTATCATATCCTATATGGATATACTATTATTTAGATATAGAAATATAGTTGAGATATATTAGATATTTTTATTATATCTGAGATGTAGATATATATTAGATATTTTTATTATACCTTAGATATAGAAATATATTAGATATTTTTATTATTAAGATAGCAACATTTCTGTGGAAAAACTGCAAGAAGCAGTAGATGGTTCAACTCTAAACAAAGATAATCTTTCTTGTAGAGTGAAACTTTTGGAATTGACGACATTAGTAAATTCATCTTTATTTGATGAATTTACTAATGCTTGCCAATATTAAGGCTGAGTTCTGAATAAATCAATAAGATAACCAAGTTGAACATTTTGTTCTTTGTTGTTGTTTCCATTTAAAAAAATTTATGCTTTCATTCTTGACATCATGTTATATATTATTTAAATTTGATTGGTTTTCACTCATATCAATCCACAAAATGTCAAAATAAATCTGACTTTTATGCGCTGCAGTGAAATAATTAATCAGCAAAATCATGCACAGATATGTTTTATCTAATTTATTGTGTTCTAATTTATTGCGGTAATATTTTAAGTTTTTAATATATTTTTTTATTTAGAATGATCTTTTTACATTATCTAAATTTAAAAAAAAAAAAACTTTACTTCTGATACATCCTTTAGATATACTACATCCAATGCAAAGCCAATTATTCCCAAAATAACAATTAACAAATCAAATATATTCCATAAATCTTTGAAATAATTCTATAAAGAAAAATGTGGTAACAAGTATTCTAAATATAAGATTACAAAATAAACAATAAATTATCTGATATAAAAGAAACAGTTATCCACATAAGATAACAGTTACCCATCTAATATAAAAGGAAAAGTTGCTTACAAAAACTAACTGTTAGTCATCTAATACAAAAGAAACAGATACCCACATAAACTAACTGCTACCCATCTAATATAAAAGAAACAGTTATCTACATAAACTTACACACCAAACATAAAAATAATTAAACAGTTACCTGTCTAAAGGCAAATATTTTTATTCCAGCTTCTATAAAAAATACCAAAAGCACTATGTAGCTTATATAATTCAGGAGTGTTTCATACAGATAAGATTGCTCATCAAACTAAAATTTTAAAAAAGTTAATTTTAAAAACAAATGACTATGTTAATTATGAAAGGTTTTATAATTCTCAATGATGTTTGTAAAACACTAAAAGATTTAACAAAATTGTTGTAACATGCTTAAACTTAAAAGAAAATTGTTTTAACTTAAACATAAACTTAATCAACACGGACAGTTTTGTTGCATTTTCTGTAAAAATGTAAGAGGACATTTTTTTACAATGTGAATGAGATGTTTTTGTAAAAAGTAGCCTAATATCAAAGTGTTAAAATATGTTGGTGAATTTTAAGAAAGTAACATTTAAAAACAAGTTGTTTTTGTTTTCATGATTGCTGTGCTTCAAATATTGTTAAAGTGTCACAGGTTCATGATTGAAAAAATAAACTAGTGATTGTATTACCTCATTGCATCAATATGAATTTAGAGTAAAAACTTTTACCAAAAATCTTTCTACCAATGCTAATGCATTTTCAGACCTTTTTATAGCATATAATGAGATTGGAAAACTATTTATTTACCATCCAGTTTATAATGGAGTATTTAAAACTTACTTATTATTTTATTTAATTAAAAATGTTTAACAACTTGTTAAATGCAAAAAAATAATAGTCATAAAAAAATAAAAGTTTTTGCTTCTTTTTTATTTGTTTTTTTCAGATTAAAGTTTTATGGTTCTGGATGGAATTTATTTCTTAACATTTATGAAAAATATTAATTACTTAACAGGAATTTGAAAAAAGCAAAAAAAATAAATTAACATGTCACTCATCTTAGAAACAAAAAAAAAGTTGTCAACCTTACATTGGCAATACTTGACAAAATTACTATAGCTGCAATATTGGGATATTTTCCTGATAGTAATTATGTAGCACAATTTATATAACTGTTTTACAAGTTATTTATCATACTTAATTCAAAGAAGAAGTTTAATACATCCAATCAACTAGGCAATGCTGCTGTAAAAAGTAATAACAAACCAAGATTTTACAGAGAAACTGCAAATTTGAATAAAGCTTGGTCAAAATGTGATTATTTTATATTTAATAAACAAATTTCTCATGCTCTAATTACAACACTATGAGCAACTACATTTCTTATTAAGAATTTGCTTAAAGAATATACATTTGTAGTTACTTCCATGTTACAAAGTGATCCTTTGAAACTATGTTTAAATGAGTAATGTGATTAAAATATGGTTTCTAAAGCACAACATATTCTTAATTATGAATACCTAAAAATATTGTCCAGAGACTTCCATGTCCAAGTCAACCACTGTTCTGATTTGTCATCATTTTAGTATTCTAGATGTTATTTCTACTGATCTAATTAAATACTGCAGTTATTCTTATTTAATTGAAAGCTTTGTAGAACAAATTTTGAAGATTTATTATAGTGTTGATTTTACTAGTGACAATCACTATGGGCGAGGGATCAATATATAGATTTTGTATTGTTATAAATATTTTTTATAATAACTTGCCCAAAAGAAATTAAAGGTTCAGTAAAGAAAGATCTAAAAAGAAGTGAAAGAATTGAAAAATATATAGAAAAAGAATCAATAAATATTCCTAAAAAAAGGAGATTTTTTTATTCCTGTTAATTGCAATTACAATAAATACAAAATAAAAAACCTTTGATTTTATTTCCATAGGAGAGGTGTTGGTAGTCTTAGCCACATTTAAGGTTATTTTAGTAGCATGTTGATATATAGTAATATGAATGCCTATTTCAGAACTTTTTTTTTTTGAATAAACTAAAACAGGCAATTCAGGTTAATTATGGAGTCCAGATTAAATCCCAGAATAATAGTTCAATAATATAATATTTCAATAATAGTTTGACCTGATAACCCCATGACCTGGTTTAACAAATAAAATTCATTAAACCAGGTCATGAGGTTATCAGGTCTCTGTGACAAAAAATGACATTGTATAGTTAGCAACTATTATTGAAGTTTTAGAAGTTTATTTTAGAACAAAGATTGGTATGCAGCCAGCTTAAAAATCTATTATGTAATTATTTTGTTTTAATGTTTAATGCATTATTGGATTAAGAATGGACTGCTTCATCGACTGGTAATTGTTACTTATTGTGATGAATCAATGGTTATGAAATTTCTTGCATCTGCTGCCCTTTTTTCCAGCATAGAGATGTTTTTTGAAAAAAAAAAAAAAAAGTTGATCAAGTTTAAAATAAGTTCTAAGTTCATCATTAAGTTTCTGCTTTTCTAGGTTCAGCTTATTAAAGTTTGTTCAGATAAAGTTTGGTCAGTAGGACTAAAAATCTCTTTGTATTTTGAATTAGCTAAGTTTCTTGTGGAAGGAATTAATTTATTACAAGCCTCTGCAGTGTAAAATTTAACTTTAAGAGGGGCTGCAAAATTATTTGTTGTTAAATGATTTATAATTTTATAATGATGAGCTAGTTGCTACTTTTCAACGTTCTTCCTGAATGCCATTTTCTGACCAACAACAAATATATTGGTAGCTCTATTGGCTAATTAAAATTAAACTAAAAAGTTTTAAGTCTGGATAGTTTGTATCTGATGTGGAAGAGATTTTTCTGCACTGACATAAAAGAATATGCCAGGGTGTTGCGATTAAGGGTTTGGGTTATGGCAGCAAAAAGTTTTTTCATTCTTTATTTATTATTTTTTTTTTTGTGTGTAAGAAAACTATATAAATTATGCTTGATAAGAAAACCATATAAATTATAAAAAAAGTCAAATAAATCTTTATTTTTTAATTGTTTAAAAATAAAATAAAAATATAAATGAGTGTTAATTTAAATTCTTTTTTTAAGTTTCTAAAGACAATCTTTTTAATGACCTTCATGTTAAAAATATGAACAAAACGTTATTTAATTATTTGCATTTAATTATTTATTTTTGTATATTTCACAATAATTAAACTTAATGGTTTAAAATACTTTTACTTTTTTGTTTGAATATTTTTTTACTATTTTAAGTTTTTTTATATTTTTTTGGTTATTCTTGTGTTTTACAAAATATATATATTTTTTTGTTTGGTTATTTTAATGTTTTGTATAATTTTTTATCTTGTTTGGTTATTGTGACATTTTGTAAGGTATTATATTTTGATTGGCTTTTTCCATGTTTTATTAAAATGGTTGAATAATATTTAATTTTTTTTTGACAACTTTGTTACACTATGTTATTCTCGATTTTATTATTTTATTTGCCTGTTTCAATTTATTCAAAAAACACAGAATACTGAAATGGGCTTTCAGGTAGCTATATACCAACATGCTACTAAAAGTAACCTTATATGTTGCCAACACTACCAACAACTCTCCTGAGGAAATAAAATCAAATGTTTTTAATTTTGTATTTAGGAATAAAAAAATAGCTTTTTGTTAGGAATATTTATTGATTCTTTTTCTATATGTATTTTTAATTCTTTCACTTCTTTTTAGATCTTTCTTTACTGAATCTTTAATTTCTTTTGGCAAGTTATTATAAAAAATATTTATAACAATATATTAAACTTTTTTTTTTTAGCAACCTGCTAGTACCAGTAACTTTTATGCTATCTTCATAAAGCTGACACTTTATTATCTCTTTAGGCAACCAAAATCTTGAATAATAAAGCATTTTTAATGATTATTTTATTTTTTTAAACAATATTTTTTAAACATACATGATCTAATCGAGTCTTCACCCCTCTAACAAGCTCTTCCACATGTTCCATATCAAATTCAGTTAAATATTTTTTTATTTTCCTTCTGAGTTAATTAGTATCTGAAGAACACACATTATTACACTTTTACGTTTTACACTTTCCCTTTCACCAGAAGTCCATAATAGTTCTACACTCTAGGAGTTTTGCAGAGGTTTTTTTTACTAAATAAGCTATTACTCTTTTTACATAATGTACACTAGCTAAATCTAGCCAAAATATTTAATTTTGATCAGAATAGTACTGTTTCAAAAATGGTACAAATTTAACTTCTAAACATTTTTCCTTGAATACATACTAGTTAATAGTAAAGCCATTTCTCTAGCCAATGATTCAGCAAATCTTTTACACAAAAATACTATACAAATTAGTACTTTAGCTTCATTCTTAATAATTGCTTATCACCTATTAATGGATCTTCAAAATACATGATTGATCTGTTAACCACTGAATTGAACTATATTAATAAGATTATTATTGGTCCCCCATTAGGAAATAGCCCACAAGATCACTGGACTTTATCCTATTATCAATTAGCTAATGATTACTTTGGCTATTTTTGGCTATTTTACCAGTTCAAAATTTATTTATAAAACAGAAATTTACACATAATTTTACAATTACTTGTTTGAACTGAACCGGAATATTCAAAAACTTTGTCGCCATTCTTACCTATTCTTCTGCAGTATATAAAGACTGCAGAAAAGTTCATTTAATGCATTATTTTTGAAAGAAAAAAAATTTGTTTCTTAATTCAAATTTATCTCCGTGGTTAATCAGTATAAGAAACTGAATCAAAAACTGAAACTGAAGTAACAATCCATTTTCATGAGCACAACCTAGCCAATGAAAAGAATAATCCAAACAGACTTTTTACCTAAATTAAGGGCAAATATATCATTAGTAATCATATCAACACCTCATCTTATCATGTCATGTTCTCATCACCTCGTCTGGTCATATCTGTAGTACTAGAGTTTTGATTGCCAACACACTAAAAAAAAAATATTTCAAAACTTAAACTCACTGTTTGTCAAATGCTTATCTGCTTCTCTATTGTACATTTTATTAGATTATGAATTTGTTCAAAAACACTTTGAGGCATTCAACAGCTACAAATGTACTGGTAAAGATCGAATAAGTCTTTACATACTTAAAACACGTGCCACCACAAGCTTTGCCATCAAATTCTTCAATAGTAATGTAAACTTCTTGTTAATGTTTTTTTTTCTTGATTTTGTCATGGCATTTGAAAAAGTTTTCTACAAGCTGACTCTAAAAGGTTGAAGCAAATGGGATTTGTGACAAAGTTTTAAATTTGATTAATGCCAATCTTTCCATGAGAACTTAATCTGTTGTCCTTGATAATGCTTCATCAGAATGGGAACATATAATTAGTAGCATTAGGGAAAACTCTTTCTTAGTCTAACACTGTTTATAACCTATATCAATGACTTGCCAAAACACAATAACAACAAAAACATTTGCAAAGTGTATCGCTACTGATTTGACAACAACACGTAACTGACATTCAATACATTTTTCAGGAGCAACTAAAAACTAATTTATTTCTATTTAAGACATTATTAGGTAATATTTTTAATCATATAGTTTTACTTTCAGAATCTGAAAGTAAAACTATATGGTGCACAATTTTCTGATGATCTGAAGTACAAGAGTTTAGCTGCTAACGCAAATCAAGTTTTAGATTATTTTAAAGCAATACATAAACAGTGCTCAAAGTGAAGAAAAAAAAGTAATAGGATGGCATTTGTTAAATTAAAAATACTATCCCGCCTAACCATTTTTATATAGAGAGAATTAAAAAAAGGTAGCGGGATGGTTATTACTTTATAAAAAGGTGACGGGATGGCACTGCATCCTGCCTCACTTTGAGTACTGTATATATATATACATATATGTATGTATATATATATATATATATATATATATATATATATATATATATATATATATATATATATATATATATATATATATATACATACATATATACATACATACATATAAATACATATATATATATATATATATATATATATATATATATATATATATATATATATATATATATATATATATTTATATAAATTGTAATTTATTTTATACCTCCACCAACATTGCAATAGAATTCACTAAAACTATAAATACAATAAAGTAATTCCAGAACCGCGATTCAATTAATTTCCAAACTTTGTATTTCAAACTTTTTACATCTTCGGGTATAAAACAAGGTTGTGGTTTTGATTTTAATACAAAATCTAGGCAAATCTTCTAAATAAACAATAGTTTATGCATATATATATATATATATTTTTATCTATATATTTATTTAGATTTATATATATACATACATAAAATAAATTATATCTATCTAATTTTTATTTAGCTTTAGAGTGACTTTTGAAATGAGGGGTGTTTTTTGATATTAGAAAATTTTACAGAAAAAGAAAACAAGAAAAAAGAAAAGAAACAAAGTTTTTAAATAAAAAAAGGAAAGGGAAAAAAAAAAGTTTACAAAAAAAAAGTGAAAAATTAAAAAAGAAAAGCACATAAAAATATAAAAAGGGAAAAAAACAACGAAGAAGCAATTTAAGAAAAGTTTAAATAAATTTAAAAGAAAAAGAACTTAAATTAGGCAAAAAAAACATTTTCAAATTTCTCACATTTATATAAATAAAATAAAAAAAAACAGAAGAAAAAGTTTAATAACTATCATAATAGTAATTTTTATTATAAATTAATTTTATAATAAGTGTTATGCTTTTTTTTATGTTTACTAAATTAGATTTAATTCATAACTGTATTGTAATCAAACATTAATTTTGTTGTTTTTGTTGTATTTTTTGTTGTATTGTAATTGTTGTTGTTGTATTTTTTGTTGTATTATC